CCATACCATTGTCTTGACCTGAACTATCTGCTGAACCAGTAGTTTTTTCTGTTGGTGTCATGTCGATACCAAGGCTCTCCATGATAATCCGTAGGTTGTTTTCTCTATCTGAGGCTCCTTGAGATAGATCCTTGAGATTGTCCCAGCTCTTCTCCTCATAATAGCCTCTAGATTCCACAAACTTGACCTTTCTGGATACTAAGATTCTTCTTGTCTCTGGAGAGTAGCATTTGTAACCTTTTTGAGTGGTAGAGTATCCAATGAACACTGCCTTTGTGCTTCTGGCCTCAAGTTTGTTTCTTTGATCACCTGTTTGCAACACATAGCACAAGCAATCAAATACCCGTAAGTGGTCAATAGATGGTTTTCTTTTGATCAATACCTCATAAGGTGTGGCATCATCAAGGACTCTTGTTAGAGTGTGGTTGATGAGATAGCATGCTGTCATGACTGCATCACTCCAGAACCTCTTAGGCATGTTGGTGTAGAACATCATGGACCTGGCCACTTCCATCAGATGTCGGTTTTTCCTCTCAGCTACACCATTTTGTTGTGGAGTGTATTGGCAGCTGGTTTGATGGATGATTCCATTCTTGGCCAAGTGGGATTTGAAAGCTATGCTTGTATATTCTCATCCATTATCTGACCTGAATACTTTGATCTTAACATTGAATTGATTAGTTATGTAGCTCTGGAAGTTTATAAACGCATATAGGACTCTATCTTTAGATGGTATCATAGTCAGCCATGTATATTTAGATTTCTGGTCTATGAAGGTGACAAAATATCTATGATTTTCCCTAGAAATGCATGGTGCAGTCCAGACATCAAAGTGTATAAGATCAAAGCAGTTCTCATAGATAGTTGATGACTTGGGAAACACTGTCTTGCAATGTTTGCCAAGAATACATGCTTCACAACCATCATTTTTTGAAGTAAATATTAGGCCAGTGCTCTAGAATGGGGATGGCCTAACCTAGCATGCCACAATACATCATTTTCTAAGACATGAATTGAACTAAAAGCATGAAGTAAACATGAGCCAGTTGTGATGTCTTCAAGCAGGTACAAGTCCCCTTTAGTAACACCCTTTCCGATCATCTTAAGAGTCTCAATATCCTGAAACACAACATCATTAGGACTAAAAGTAACCTTGCAGTTAAGATCAGTGGCAATCTCTTTGACATATAATAGATTAGATGTAAGAGATGGCATGTAAAATGCTTTAGTATCTTTCTCAAACATTTTCAAATTTCCTACACCTTTTATTGCTATGATATCACTATTTTCAATCATAACATTACCTCGGGCAGGTTTAACATTCGCCCTATTCTTTTCATGAACGCAGCTATTAGCGTCAGCGTCAAGAAAATTACACTGATCAACCATGGCGGAAAAAATCCGTGATACAACATCAACTTTTTTTTCAGTCGCGCGTCGATCAACAAAGAGTGAAATGGACGCTGTAAATTTTAGCGTTAGCTACGCTTCGCTTTTTCAGTCGCGCGTCAATCAGCAAAGAGTGAAACAGTTACTTTAATCTTTGGGTCCGTCAAATTTGGCTCCGTCGGTAGTGTATTTTTCTGACACTGACGCTAATAGCTGCGTTCAGGAAAAGAACATGGCTATTGTTAATTAGCCTAGCATCACTAATCATGTGGTGAGAAGCTCCAGAATCTATAACTAATGGCTTAAGTCTATCAGATGCATTCAAGGTTGTAAAAAGAGCATTAGGCAGTCTACAAGAGGCATTCAAGGATAAACCAAGTGTGTTACCAGAGTTCTCCTTGAGGGCTTTGATGAGAGCATCAAGGTCAGACCTCTTGATTTTCTCATCTTGAGTAGTCCTCATGGTCAAACAGCCGCTGAATCCCAAGGTCTTCCCTTCTCCAGCCGCAATCGAGTTCATGATACAAGGAGTAGATGGTTCGCCCATTTCACCAGATAAATTGACCCTTGCATCAGAGTAAGGTGTCCTGAACTTCTAAGGCTTGAGGTGTGGGTGAAGGATCCAGCATTTGTCTTTGTCGTGACCTTTCTTCTTGCAATGGTTACACACCCACACCTTCTTGTCTTCCAGCTTGTAATACCCCTTTTTAGCTATGCGTTCATGTTTGTGATCATTTCCTTCAGCCTTGTTAGCGATGATGAGATCTCCTTTGCCACCAAAGAGTCCCACTGAGCCTTGCTCCTTTTGAATCTGAGCACAAAGCTCCTCAAGTGATGGAAGCTTCTCACTTCTTAGAATGTGCTTGATTAGATTATTATAATCTGGGTTAAGAGTGAACATCAAATCAAATACCTTGTCTTGCTCCTTCCTCTCATTGAGTACATCCGTATCAAGGCTGGCCGGTCTTAGCCTCTCTAACTCGGCCCACAATGATCTGAACTTCCCAAAATGCTTGGAAAATTCAATGTCCTCTTGACTGAGAGTGTTGATAGCCCTTTTGACTTCAAACACTCTACTGATATTAGATATGTTGCCATATACCTTATGGAGAGTATCCCACAGCTCCTTGGAAGTTTCACAATAGGAGTAAGCTTCCAATATAGAGGTTTCAAGGCTATTCTGAATGATGGAAAGGACCATGAGATCTATCTGACCTATTTTCCCACCTCCTTCAGCCGCAGCAACAACTTCTTTACCATCCTCTCATAGGATAGTTTTTTGGTGTCTTTGCCATCAACAACATACTCCCAAAGACCTCTGCCTCCAAGAGCGGCTTTGACAAGCCTAGACCACAGTAAGTAGTTGGTTTCCTTAAGGTAACCGGAATAAACACGGATTTAAAAATATCAGTGTTGAAATTTTCCATTTTTGGTAAGTTTTAGGTTTGAAAATGAAGAACAACTCAAGAACAATATGAACTTTGTCAAATATAGAAAAAAAATCAGAGATTTGCAGAAGTAAAGAGAATAGAGTAGAGAAGAATGGATCTCATGAGCTTACTTTCTCTGATACGATGAAAGAATGTGAAGATAAAAAGATTTAGACAAAGAAAATTAAAGAAAAAAGAGTGAGATATTTTTGAAATTGAGAGAGAGAAAGTAGATCTGAGAAGAATTCACTCTTCTTATTATATTTTAGTATTATGTACATGTCTTTAAATAGATTCACAAGTGGACAAGGAAAAATAACAAAACAAATAGGAGAGAGATCTCAGCGTGTTTATAAACTTCTTACAAAACCTTATAAGTCTCTAGTTTAATAAAATTTTATAAAATTTTATAAATCCTTATAAGTCTCTAACTTAATTCTCAAGTCTAACACTTTAATTTGTTTCATGTCAACACGCATGCTATAGTTTTTTTTGTGCAGTACTCCAAAATTAGCTAGTTAGATACCGGTTATCAAAATAAATAAATTAACAAATAAGAAAAAGAAAAAAAAACATATAAGAAAAAGAGTTATTCTTGGGTTCACCCCCTAGGGTGAACCTCTAGGTTCACCATCTAATAGGATTTCACTATTTCATATTTGATATCTTTCAAAAAAGGAAACAAAATCTTGTTAAGATATATTATGTTTTTAAAAATAAAAATACAAAATAAATAAAAAATAATAATAATTAATAAAAATGAAAATGATCTTTTTTAAAAGAAAATATTTTAACACTAAACCCTAAAATCTAATCCTAAAACCTAAACCCCTAGGTAAATCATAAACCTTTGGATAACTTTTATAAAAAAAAGTTCTTTAAAAAAAATGTTTTAATACTAAACCCTAAAATCTAATCCTAAACCCTAAACCCTTGGGTAAATCATAAACACTAAACCCTAAACTCTAATCCTAAACCCTAAACCCTTGGATAAATCATAAACACTAAACCCTAAACTCTAATCCTAAACCCTAAACTCTAATCCTAAACCCTAAACCCTTGGATAAATCATAAATATTAAATTTTTAAAACACTATAAGATTTATCTAAAGGTTTATGATTTAACCATGGATTTATGGTTTGTGATTATAGTTTAGGGGTTAATGCTAAAATATTTTCTTTAAAAAGAATTATTTTCGTTTTTATTTATTATTTATTTATTTATTTATTTTCTATTTTATTTTTAAAAACATAATATAACTTAATAAGATTTTCTTTCATTTTTAAAAAGATATCAAATATGAAATAATGGAATCCTATTGGATGGTGAACCTAGAGGTTCACCCTAGGGGGTGAACCCAAGAATAAGTCTAAGAAAAATAAAGGAGCGATCATCAGCCTCATTTAGGATTCCTTTTTCTATTTATGGAAAGTATATTAAACCAAACGGCTCCAAACCCCTCATTGCACAAACATTGCATGTGGCCAATCTTTCCGCACATATCTAAATAAAAGTTAAGTTCCTAGATTTATCTTGATATTTTGGGATAGTTTCTTTAAACTTTATTGTTTTGAATAGTTTCAAACGCATCATTTGATTTGATAAACACAACACTGAATCACTGATGTGTTATATATATATATATATATATATATATATATATACTATTTTGCATATCAAATCATATATATATTATATATAAGAACTATATCAAATCATATATACATATATAAATGAATAAAATATGTATATACGTTTAGCAAGACTGATAACCCAACAAATTAAATTTCCAGTCCATGTAGTATACACAGGATTACGTAAGGTTGTTCAACCCAATCTACGAGATAATGAATACAACAGGTTGAGGTTCAGTACGTCTATATATTTTATTTTATTTTATTTTTAAGAAACTGAAACCCAACACGAACCATCAAGTTACAAAGATATAACATCTACGTTACTCAATATTCTTCCTAAGACACTGGTTTTTTTTTTTTTTTTTTTTTTTTTTTTTTTTTTTTTTAA